AATGTAGAGAAATAAAATTTGTTTTCTTTGGTGAAGTGCTTTTGGGAGCTGTGAATGAAAAGAGCTATGCATCATCAGTGAATATTCAAAAAGGCCTGATGGGACATATATGGAAATAGCAATGTTCTCAGAGTGCTCCTGGAAAATGGAGATACAACCTAGTAAAGCAAAAAAAAAAAAAGGACGAAATCCTCACTGAGAGGCAGCACTGGAGACAGGATAAGATATGTTAGCGTTGCCTGACACCTTTAAAGCCACTTGTTCCTCCAGTCCAGGCTGGTAAGATGGCATCTTTCTCTCATTTCCACCCACGGCATCTGATTTTCACCCATCCAGATACTAACTTGGGTGTCTTCACTTCTGCATTGCATTGATATATGCTGGCCATCCTCCTCCTCAGCAAATCAACACATCCAATCACACCTGACAACCTCCATTAACATATATTTATAACTTTAGGGATATTCCTGTTCACTGAGCCAAATTCACCATACAGTCTCATGACTATACACATCCTTCAGACTATTTTTCCAGAATTCTACTGGGCTAAAGAAATTAACCACAGGTAAGTTTTTGACAAAAGTTTTGTTTCTAGAAAACTGACACTAGTATATTATCTTTCATTCTATTCCTATTACTCTCTCATTGATTTTGTCTTATCCTCTTATTCTTCATAACTCCACGTAGTTGCAAGTCCCAAAGCTAAGACATCAGTTCCATGGTACATTAGCCAGAGCAAGGCAAATGATTTGTACCTCCTAATTGATTTGATTATTTCAACATATAATTGAGGAATGGAAGTAAACCAAATTGAATTTCCTCAGACTTATTCAATATTAAATTAAATAAATAACCTTTAAAAAAAGGACTTCAGACTTGCTGGTGAATATTCCTGCTTTTGACAAAAAGTGATTAAGTTTGGAGTACCTAAAAAAAATGGCTTTATTACTTCAGTTCTACAACTGGTTAAGATAGAAGTATTTCTGGAATACAATTTTATCCATGTTAACTGAACATTCAGCTTTCAAAACAACTTTAAAATTAGATTTCCTTGTAGGAGAAGGGTGAGTGGAAAATGTCACATGATGATTTATGACCTCTTGACTCTCTCGAGTCAAAGAAAATAACACTATGGCAAAGGAGAAAATATTGAGGTCTGTTCTGGGATCTGAAGGCTACGTACTGTGACTTGACTAGTGCCTCAGCTCTCACTGCAGGATAGATTAGTCTGCAGGCCAACAGATAATAACCCCTGGCCTACCAAGGATATCAACAGCTCTGACTATGTCTTGGTCAGAGTTTGTTCTCAAATTAGTGTCAAAACCCAAATCCCACTCTTCTACCAGATCCGATTTTTCTCTACAAGATTCAGGATGCTTGGAAAACTATAACAGCTTGTTATTTTGGTTCTACTTTATCCTGAGATCCTGACTTCTTCTGGTAGCTCACATATATCCAAAGACAGACTTAAGCTCAATGCATCTGATACTGCTGCCTCTGCAATAAAAAGACAGGAAAGGGTGGTTTCTGGGGATTCATCATTAGCCTGAACATACTATGTCAATCATTCTTCCAAGGCAGAAGGAAAAAGCAGTAACACTGTTTTCTTGTATTATTAAGCAGTTTCCTGCCCATTTTTAATTCCTAACATTTATTGCTTCCTTCTTTTTCATAGTTAAGATCACTGCAAGAGCAACTCTTGCTTTACATCGTTAGAAGTCAGAGGAGTTGTAGAACTAGAGTAGCACAACGAACATTTGGGGCTTGCTTTTGAAATTATCTCTCTCGTATTGCATTTAATATATTATAAAACAATAAATACTCCAGAGATGTAAGCCATTACAGTTGTGTAATACAGATATTATCGAAGTAAGAAATGAGTTTTTTCATGTAGGTGAAGAATCTCTTGCTAACAACCCTGAATCTTGAATTGCAGAATAATTAGAGCCTGTGTTATGGGTAGACAGCACAAACTTCCTCCCACGACACTTCCTCTCTCAATAGTATGTTTCAATCCTGCCTACAGGAGGTGGAAAGGGAAACTTTTGACTTCTAGCCTGTCAAGTTTTTCTTTCTTTGTTAAGACTAGTAAGGAGGCTACCAACTACAGTAGTATTTTTTCCTAAATTGGAAATTTTGCTGAAAACAGCTGTTGTTAGAGAATTAATACTAAAGGGATTTGTAACGTATGTTTTAGAAAAGTGATGAACAAGCACAACCGATAAAATCACAAATGCAATGCAAACCTGCCAGACACAGCTAATGTGACCAGTGGCAGCTCTTCCTCAGTTCAAGTTAAATCAGTGAGTTAAGAGCAAAAGACTTCACATCCTGCTTTTCTCTCTTGCCATCACCAGAGGAAAAAACAGCAATTGCATTTACCTGTAGATCAGGACTTCATCATCTGAGCAATTATACTGCAGCTGATACATTTTTACCCGAGGAGCCGACTTGCTCACCGTCCACTTGACCAAAGCTGAGGTAGTGGTCACATCTGACACCAGGACAGCCCTTTCTGGTGGGGCTTTTGTTTCTCCACGATTAGTCTTGCTGGAACTGGTGATGTCCGAGAGCCTGGATTTTGGTTCTTTCTATGCTTCATTTGTCCCTGGTGCAAAATGTAGAGAAATAAAATTTGTTTTCTTTGGTGAAGTGCTTTTGGGAGCTGTGAATGAAAAGAGCTATGCATCATCAGTGAATATTCAAAAAGGCCTGATGGGACATATATGGAAATAGCAATGTTCTCAGAGTGCTCCTGGAAAATGGAGATACAACCTAGTAAAGCAAAAAAAAAAAAAAGGACGAAATCCTCACTGAGAGGCAGCACTGGAGACAGGATAAGATATGTTAGCGTTGCCTGACACCTTTAAAGCCACTTGTTCCTCCAGTCCAGGCTGGTAAGATGGCATCTTTCTCTCATTTCCACCCACGGCATCTGATTTTCACCCATCCAGATACTAACTTGGGTGTCTTCACTTCTGCATTGCATTGATATATGCTGGCCATCCTCCTCCTCAGCAAATCAACACATCCAATCACACCTGACAACCTCCATTAACATATATTTATAACTTTAGGGATATTCCTGTTCACTGAGCCAAATTCACTATACAGTCTCATGACTATACACATCCTTCAGACTATTTTTCCAGAATTCTACTGGGCTAAAGAAATTAACCACAGGTAAGTTTTTGACAAAAGTTTTGTTTCTAGAAAACTGACACTAGTATATTATCTTTCATTCTATTCCTATTACTCTCTCATTGATTTTGTCTTATCCTCTTATTCTTCATAACTCCACGTAGTTGCAAGTCCCAAAGCTAAGACATCAGTTCCATGGTACATTAGCCAGAGCAAGGCAAATGATTTGTACCTCCTAATTGATTTGATTATTTCAACATATAATTGAGGAATGGAAGTAAACCAAATTGAATTTCCTCAGACTTATTCAATATTAAATTAAATAAATAACCTTTAAAAAAAGGACTTCAGACTTGCTGGTGAATATTCCTGCTTTTGACAAAAAGTGATTAAGTTTGGAGTACCTAAAAAAAATGGCTTTATTACTTCAGTTCTACAACTGGTTAAGATAGAAGTATTTCTGGAATACAATTTTATCCATGTTAACTGAACATTCAGCTTTCAAAACAACTTTAAAATTAGATTTCCTTGTAGGAGAAGGGTGAGTGGAAAATGTCACATGATGATTTATGACCTCTTGACTCTCTCGAGTCAAAGAAAATAACACTATGGCAAAGGAGAAAATATTGAGGTCTGTTCTGGGATCTGAAGGCTACGTACTGTGACTTGACTAGTGCCTCAGCTCTCACTGCAGGATAGATTAGTCTGCAGGCCAACAGATAATAACCCCTGGCCTACCAAGGATATCAACAGCTCTGACTATGTCTTGGTCAGAGTTTGTTCTCAAATTAGTGTCAAAACCCAAATCCCACTCTTCTACCAGATCTGATTTTTCTCTACAAGATTCAGGATGCTTGGAAAACTATAACAGCTTGTTATTTTGGTTCTACTTTATCCTGAGATCCTGACTTCTTCTGGTAGCTCACATATATCCAAAGACAGACTTAAGCTCAATGCATCTGATACTGCTGCCTCTGCAATAAAAAGACAGGAAAGGGTGGTTTCTGGGGATTCATCATTAGCCTGAACATACTATGTCAATCATTCTTCCAAGGCAGAAGGAAAAAGCAGTAACACTGTTTTCTTGTATTATTAAGCAGTTTCCTGCCCATTTTTAATTCCTAACATTTATTGCTTCCTTCTTTTTCATAGTTAAGATCACTGCAAGAGCAACTCTTGCTTTACATCGTTAGAAGTCAGAGGAGTTGTAGAACTAGAGTAGCATAACGAACATTTGGGGCTTGCTTTTGAAATTATCTCTCTCGTATTGCATTTAATATATTATAAAACAATAAATACTCCAGAGATGTAAGCCATTACAGTTGTGTAATACAGATATTATCGAAGTAAGAAATGAGTTTTTTCATGTAGGTGAAGAATCTCTTGCTAACAACCCTGAATCTTGAATTGCAGAATAATTAGAGCCTGTGTTATGGGTAGACAGCACAAACTTCCTCCCACGACACTTCCTCTCTCAATAGTATGTTTCAATCCTGCCTACAGGAGGTGGAAAGGGAAACTTTTGACTTCTAGCCTGTCAAGTTTTTCTTTCTTTGTTAAGACTAGTAAGGAGGCTACCAACTACAGTAGTATTTTTTCCTAAATTGGAAATTTTGCTGAAAACAGCTGTTGTTAGAGAATTAATACTAAAGGGATTTGTAACGTATGTTTTAGAAAAGTGATGAACAAGCACAACCGATAAAATCACAAATGCAATGCAAACCTGCCAGACACAGCTAATGTGACCAGTGGCAGCTCTTCCTCAGTTCAAGTTAAATCAGTGAGTTAAGAGCAAAAGACTTCACATCCTGCTTTTCTCTCTTGCCATCACCAGAGGAAAAAACAGCAATTGCATTTACCTGTAGATCAGGACTTCATCATCTGAGCAATTATACTGCAGCTGATACATTTTTACCCGAGGAGCCGACTTGCTCACCGTCCACTTGACCAAAGCTGAGGTAGTGGTCACATCTGACACCAGGACAGCCCTTTCTGGTGGGGCTTTTGTTTCTCCACGATTAGTCTTGCTGGAGCTGGTGATGTCCGAGAGCCTGGATTTTGGTGGGGCTGCTCGGCCTGTGTCGTTGCTGAGATGGGGGAGCTGAACAATGGAGAGCTCAATTGTTGCAGTGGACTCTCCAGCAGCATTGGCTGCTATGCACGTGAAAGTCCCGTAATCCTTGGAGGTGGTGATGAGGATATCTAGGGTGCCATTGTCATAGACGGCTGTCCTTGAAGAGTTCCCAATGAGACGGTCATCAGGGGCCACCCAATGAATGATGGGGATGGGATCTCCAATAGCTTTGCATTTCAGTGTAGCAGTTTGCCCTTCTAAAACCAGCAACTTGTGAGTATGTTGTGTGATAAGAGGAGGCTCACAAACAAATTCTTCCTCCTGTACATACCAAAAGTACCTTCCTTTTAGACCTGGAGGAGAAGCACAAGTTTCCATATCGTCATCTCTGTCAAGTCGCCTTAACCACAGTAGCTCACAGTTGCAATGTAGTGGATTGCCCCCAAAGCTGAGAGACAAAGGTGGAGAAAATGGGGTAACGTCTAGTGGAATGACTTGAGATCTGGCAAATATAGGGTCTGGGGGGAGCTTCTGAAGTCTGTTGGATGTTAGATCCAATCTGGCCAATTTCTGAAGATCTGCAAACGTCCCTTCTGTAATATGATCTATCAGGTTATGATCCAAACTGAGCTGATGCAAGTTTATCATGTTCCTTATAGATTCCCAGGGAATGCTTCGGAGGTTATTGTAGGAAAGATCTAAGTCTTCCAATGTCAGCAAAAAATCCTCAAAGGCTTCATCAGAGATGCTGCTTAGTTGGTTGTTGTTTAAAATCAGATGCTGAAGGTTAATTAAGCCTCTCAAAATATCCTCTCCAATGTCAGGCAGCCTGTTGCTGTCCAAATGTAAAGACCGAAGGCTCTCCAAGTCAGTGAAAGAGTAGGGCTGTATGTAGCTGATGGTGTTTCTGGACAAAGTAAGGTCAACAAGCCCGGACATATTGGCAAAATCCTGTCGGCTGATGTTAATAATAAAGTTGCCCCCAAGTCGAAGTTCAACAGTCCTTCTGTCTATGTCTAGTGGTACAAATAGGAGACCCTTGGAGGGACACAAAGTCCCCAGAGACTCAGACAGGTTCTGGCAGACACAATATTTGGGACAAGCGTTGACCGTGACAGCCATTCCAAAAAACAGGATGCTGCAGAGCAATTTTTCCATGGTAAATCATGCAACAGTACCTGAAAGAAATTAAAAGAGTTACAAGGAACATCAGCAGTTGCAGTACAGCCACCTTTCCTGTTATATTTTACCTAATATCAATAGGTGCCACACCTAAAGCAGCCATCACTCTGGAATAGGAAGATTAAGTGTTGTAACAACATATTTCTCTACGTAATGGATTTATTTCTAAAAAAAAAAGGCAAAAAAAACCCCACCAAATAAACAAAGACACCCCTAACAACAACAACAAAAACAACCCAAAAAACCACACACAAAATCCCCACAAAACTCCAAAATAAACAAAAGAAACCCCTAACAACAACAACAAAAATCCCACACACAAAACGCCCACAAAACTATTTTGTTTCCAAATCTGAATGGAATAGGAATTGTTAGTTCTTATTCCTGGTAATAGGGTCTTTTGAGTACCTAATTCCTAGTTACAGTTTTATAATTTTTATTAGGTAGTTGGTAGAGGACAAATCTTGCTGTCAGATTGCATGGCTTACTTAAAAACCTGAAAGACTTCATTTGGAATAGTGCCTGCTACTTTGAGGGTAGAAGCTGTCTTATAGTAATTACATACTGCAGCATAATAATGTAGATTTAGTCTTAGGGTTGAAAGAGCTGATTCTATGGATAAAAATAACTCCATATTTACCCTTCAGTAATGTGGTTAGTAATGACCATGTAATTATCTGGCCAGTCCTGGGGCAAGTCAGTTCACTTGCCCAGCCACAATAAAATTTATGATAGGCAGCAGAAGTTGCTTGCATAATCATTACCTGGATTGACCCTGCTTGCAGCCAAGCTGGAGGAAAGATGACATTGCATAGTGCCAGAGAGAAGAGATGCAGGGGAAACTTATGCTACCTTAGGCTCCTGGCAAGCTTTCTGATACTTTCATGTTCTCACACTACTAGCCTCTGTTATGGTGACAGCAGTGCTCTGAGCTGCATCCACAGCCCTCTCTTGCATCCTGCACATTTGTGTTTGCACCATTATCTCCTTTTGTGTTTGTTTGTTTTTCAGCTCTTGCATACTTTACAGCTTGAGCTATAAGATATGTGTCTTTGAAGAACAAACAAAATGTATTTACAGGCTGACTCAGAGGGCCAGTTGTGGCTGGGAGCACTTCAGCCACACTTCAGGTTAGGGAATATCTTCTTACATGGGGTCACTAACTTTCTTCCCACACGTGAAAGACATAAGCACACTTGTTTCCTTTCTGCCTCTCCCTTGCCCACACCCTTCTATCAAGGAGAGCTTAGGAAAGGGCAGATCATTAATATTTAACCTCCCTTTTCCCAATGAAGCAAGAAGCAGGTTGACAAAGAGCTAGATTTTTGTCCAGTATCTCCTAAGGTTTTTTTGCTGAGATAGTGTGCTCATGTCTCAAGCCCCTCACCTGTGGCAGTTGTTACAGACACAGTTCAGACTATCATTTCCAGTGTGGCTATTTTGCCTCAATTCCACCCAAACTACCCCATCATGACATTTTGCATTACTGTCATCAGTACTAGGTGTATGCCAGATCTCTTCTCCAATCACGCACGTGCTCATCTGCTTAGCAGTTTTTTTGCACTTGTGTTTCAAGAGCAATCATGGCACAGTAAGAGATGAGATCCCCTCATGTTTCATCAGTTGCCCCTCCAGTGCCTAAGCAGTGGATGGCAGGCAGTCACCTGTGCCTACACTGGTTCTCTTCCTGC